ACACACACACACACACACACACACACACACTGCTGCAGCCGCAAATGAAAGCTCTCTTTGGATGCTTGACTGTTTAATATGTAATGTGATACCTTGTCTCGCGGTGACAGGGTGACAGACGGGCATTGGCTCTATAATACAGAATTACCTTTTGTGCATCTCTTCTACAACAAAGCCAGATACACGGACTCTCCCTAATATGCTAATACGTTTGGTTGCTCCAGATGTTTTGGAAGCTCGGGAACAGCTTCAAAGGTCCCCTTGTTTTCCTTTCTCTTTAACCCTTCTTTTGTGAAATAAGGGCATTAGATTTTCCTTCAGTTTTGTATTCCACCACGTACGTGTAGCTGATGGGAGGACTGGCGAAACTTCTTTGTGTCTAAAACAGAAAATTGTAAGCACTGCCCATTCTCGTCCCCCTTTTCAGATGTTAGGAAAGAATTTCCTTCTCTGTGCACATTTCTGTTCTGAAATCTGTAGCTCTCATCATCACTTAGCTGAAGGACTCTTTGGCCTCATTTGTGTTTTAAATTTCCCAGCCCCCGTTATGTTAAGGCCAGGGGGAGATGTTCATGCACATCTCCAGCCCCCCCGGAACAGGACTGCTCCTTCCTCTTTGCTGCTGCCGCTCCAGGCTTAGGAAGAACCAGTTCGGGTATGTTGCCTTGAAAGCCTTTTAGTTGCTTGCTCATTTGGGAGATGAGGGTCCAGAGCTCCTGAATTTTGTTTCCTTGGGGTTCTCAGCTCGTGAGCATGGGCACTGCCCTTGTGGTGGCCTGTGGCACGCCGCCCCGTCAGCTGACGGTGACTCGCCGAGCGCTGCCTTTACCGCAGTGATTTGGAATTTCCAGCTCATATTTATTGCTCTTGTGAAAGACAATGGATGTGGTTTAATTTAAGTTCAACCTACTGAATATTAATAGAGGAGAACGAATGCTCGTGTGGGGAGGCGGTCTTTGGGCCATCGCGTCTCCTCTGTTTAACCTCCTTCCCCCGACAAAGGTTTGTGTTGATGGTGGGCTTGGGCGAGGGTGGGAAGATAAAGCCAGTTGGTGTGTTTGGAGGAGAGGATGCCGTTTGATTATTTCTCATTGACTAAAAATAATGTAAAAGATCAGTGGCAGGGCTTTGTTCCGTAGGGGAAAGGAAAGGCAGTACTCATTGGCTTGTCTGATGGTCTGATAACGGCTCTTCTGCCCCGTGGTGTCGTGTTCCATCTTGCTGACCTGGCTTTTCTGGACTGGGCACGTGGTACGAGTTGGATGAAAACGTTCAAAATGAAATAGGGTAGCCAGTCCACTGGAGATGTGAATAAGGGGGTGGGCGGTGTGCAGAAAAGAAAAAAGCCCAGGTTTATCCAACCATGGAGACTGTCTAACTAAAAATAAATGTACATTTTCTCTGTGCTGATGTCAGGAGGGGGGTACTCAAATTGAAACAGTTATACGCAGAACAAGTCACCCCCCCCCCCCCCCCCCCCCCCCAGTAAAGGCTGGAAACAGCTGAGGTCTTCTAGTTCACATAACAGGCAAGCAGTCCCTTTGTGTGGGCCCCTTTTTCCTGATCTGGAAAGTGAATGACAGCCCATCTGTCTCGTAGTTCAGGTAACAGACATTGTTAATCCTTGGAATGGAGGCATCTTTGGTGTTCTTTGAAGATATTAGTCTGATGAGGGCTTGGGACTGTGGACTCAGCACTTTGATTCCTTTTAATGGAGCTCAGTCATGCCTTAGTGTTTCAGAGCATTCTCATCCTTTTGCCTGACATTGAGCTCACATACAGTCAATTAAAATTCCCCCTTTTCATGTAAAACTTGATAATCCAGTTTCCCTGAATTTGTGCTTGGGCAGTTGATTTCTTTTTTTTTTGGAGAGAAGAAACATTATATCCTTGTTCTAGACTGATGCCTCTTAGATATGAACACTTTTTTTCCATCATGCGTTACTTTTTAACTGTATTTGTCATTAGCAGGGTCTGATAGCTGTGTGATAAGTTTTAAGCAGCCTTACTTCCTTTCACAAAATTAATGATCCAAGGTGGAAGAATGCCCCAGCAGAACTTTGGTTTTGGGCGCCTTACTGTGAGTGAACTTTGGATGTGGGTGCCCTAACGTGAGTTGTATTATGATAGATTGTACAAACATAATTCCTGAGATCTAGTGCACACTTGCCCAGAGCTTTATAGTGTCTTAGGGCAATTAGATCTCTTACTGGCTTGAATCTTGCTTCCCCCTGCAATAGTGGATCTCAAGATGTGGCCCCCCTAGACCAGCCAAAGCAGAACCAGCATCATCTGGAAATTTGTTAGAAGAGGACACACTGGGGTTATGCCCAGGGCGTAAGTTTGAGGGTCACTATTCTTTACAGTCTACAGAGGTTCTTTTTGTCAGAATGACAAGGGTAGAGCTGTCATTGAATAGCTGAACTTTTCTCTGCTAACTCATTCCTTCACTTACTCACTCATTCACTCATGAGCTGCTTGCTCCCTCAGGAGATGCTTGAGATCTTGTTATGTGCATACCAGAGGGGACAGCAAGTGCTTCTTCCTCAGGTTCACCGAGCAGCGCCTGCTGGCCCTTCTGTTTCCTCCTTGTTCCAAACACAGCTTCAGACAACCACCTCTTCTTCCTCCTTCACTGTCACCAGCACCACCACTGTTTTGGTTTTGGTTTTTGTTTTTTAGGTGTATTGCACATACCAGCTTTGCTCTCCTCGTTTTGCTGTTGCAGGTTTGCTTGCTGGCTCCAGTGATTCATACCCTATTGGTTACCCTGCAAGTGCAGGGTTTCTTCTTTGTACATACTACTAACTGATACATACAGAAGTATCTCCTCTCACTACTAAAATTTAGGCTTGGTTGGATTTTGCCTGGATCCCCCGTGCCCTGGCATATGGTGGGTGTTCAAAAATGAAGTTATATTTCCTTCCTCCTTTCTTGCTTTATCCTCCTTTACGTCCTTACATACTGTTGAAAAATTTGAATTCAACCAAGAGTGCACTTTTATTTTAGAGATAATCCCCCTTAAAAATTAGTTTTATATATGGTTCCATAACCAGAATTTTTATTTTGAATTTACCATCCTTTTCAAGTGTGGTAATTCATCCATTAGCGCCTTTTTTACACGTGACTTATATTATGTCCCTGGGCTAGTTTCCTAATCTGCGTTTATAAGTATGGTCTGTATCTTCCTGCTATTTGGTGGGCTGCTGCGTGGTCATCCCCCCCCCACCCCGCCCCACCGCCCATGACATTGCTGCAGTGCGCTAATTTAGTGCTGGTCAATAGAGATGTTACTTCAACCACATATGTAGTGTTAGTTTTCTAGAGCTGCATTACAAAATTTTAAAGAAGCAGGTAAGACTAATTTAAGTGTATTTGACGTAACCTAATAATACATCCGGAATATTTCAAGAATTAATATCAAATTATTAAAGAAATGTTAGTTATAGTGAGTTTTAGATAAGGTTAAATAAAAGTAATAGTTCATCTTCTTACTCACATAGCCATATTTCAAATGCTCAGTAGCTCCCTGTGACTAGCGGTTACCGTAATGGATAGCACTGCTCTCATCTTTGAAACGTTGGCCACACTTCAACCCTTAGACTCATAGATTTCCCTGCAATTATGTCTCTTGTTTGCCTCACAGTGCAAACGCCCCACATTTTCTGTTTCTCTGGGAAGTTGCCTAGTGTTTTCACTTCCATATTGTAGTCATGACTCCCAAAGCCACAAGTCTGAGTGACAGCCATGGGATTTTATTTACTGCATTGTATTAGATTTCCAGCGTTATGTTATTACTCATACCCTGAAATGATGTAAAAATAGATAACTGGGGAAATGCATGCGTAAACAGGCTAAGTCCCAGGGTTTTGTTGCAGTATACTGTGTTCTTCCAGAAAATCTTACCCAATATGTAGAATATTGTGTTCTATATAGTGTTTACTGCAACTAATAGGAACCACTCTTTAAGTGCTTCAACCAAAAAGGGATTTAATACAGGGACGTAAGTGCTTACAAACTTGCTGGAAGGGTTGGGAGAACAAAAATCAAGGGGCCACCCTGCCCTTTTGGCTTCACTTAAAAGCCAAACACCGTGGCTGTGAAAATGCAGACACTTGCTAGCATTTCTGCTGATGCCCAGAGGCTGGTGACTAGACAGTGGAACTGGGGGCCGGTGGCTGTGGACACTTGTGTGGGTACAAGCCCCCCGTTGGTAGAACCTAAATCGTATCCAGAACCCTAGATGCAAGGACATCTGAATGCTAGAAGACCAGGCTTTTATTCAGCTGTGACCCGTTGGCTGGTGGCTCAGCAGCTTCTATGTCACTTCGCGTAGCCCTTTTCCCAGTCTGGGTTACTAGTGGCTCATCCTGGTGCCACCAGACTCCCTCTTCCGCATGGTACCGTGTATGGAGTCGTGGAGAATCCTTATCCTCTGAGACAATCAGATTCCAATACAGTGACTCTGATACAGTGGATTGCTATGAAGAGCAAGTTGTACAGTCAGACCTCTAGTTAAGGACTGATATATGGCCACAAGGTAATGATTGATACTTTTTCTTGGGTGGCAGGTACTGGTTCCTGAAGGCAATTCCAAAAAGGATTTCAGTGTTTCTAGAGTAAATATTTAGCCCTGGAAGGGTAACTAGTTTGAATCGGTAATACGTGAAGTTTGTTTCTTCCTTTCCACTCCCCAGCCCTGAAAGACGTTGATGCACTTCAGAAAGGATGCTGTAGTGCATTATTACAATCACACATTTCTGCTTGACTTTCTTACTGTGGTAGTTATTTCTTTGGTAGGCATTTCACTCTCGTGTAAGGTCTAAAGTAGGATGAGGTGGGACTTTTCCCCCTCCATTCACAAGGGATGTGTACCTTCTAATTCTCTTCTATCCAGATTCTTGTCTGCCCATATCAGCCACTGTGTAGGGTTAACTGTGGTAAAGTGCTGCTTCCTGATGTCATGTATTGAAGTGTTTGTCCCCTTTTTTCACCTGTAGGGCTCCTTGGTAATGGCCAGTCTAAGGGATTAGGACCAGCATCAGAACAGTCAGAGAATGAGAAGGACGATGCATCCCAAGTGTCCTCAACTAGCAACGATGTTAGTTCTTCAGATTTTGAAGAAGGGCCGTCGAGGAAAAGGTTAGTACTCAAGGCTGAAAATATTGCTGCCTTAAACCAGGGACTTCACACTAGGTGCCAGTTTTGTCCGCGTGGGGACAAACTTGGGCCCACTCACCCAATCTCCTGATTTTTTCATAGAGGAGCCAGAATTCTGGAGTTTTGTATCAGATATCCTGGTTTCTAAATATTGTCCACTAATTATTATTAGAGATGAATAAAGCAAAAAAATGCTGTGGACCAGAAGAAAACACTTTCCTGCCATAAAAATTGGCCAAAGAGTTGCCAACTTGTAATTCCTGTCTTTGCTGTTCATTTTAATTGATTTTCATCAGTTGTATTCTTGAGTATATTAGATGGTATTTCGCCATTTCTAAAGAGATGTTTCTAAAAATTTGAAGAATTAAATGTGGCGTTTCTGAAAAATTTTTCCCCTTGTCAGGAAAGCAAAATCCACTTGGTGTTAACCAAGTTAGTAGGTGTGAAATCGGTTCTTAAAATTAATTTACCAGCAGGTTTTAAATTTTTTTAAATGACTTTCCTAAATAAGCTTTAGATAGCTTGATCAGGAAGTTGGCTATGGTAGTTTGATAAGAGTTGTGGCTTCATGGTCAGACAGTGACATTATATAATAACGCTTTTAATTGGGTGTTTTAAAAACCCTTTGTTATCAGCCTTATTTCACGCCTTGTGTTGTCTGCGCGGACCGCCGCCTCCCTTAGAGTTTATATTTCATTTCATTCCTTTTCTGTTCTCATACTCAGTGTTTTCCTGGATGACAAGATTAATTACTTTTTCTTAGAATCTGTTTTTTGGAGAGGTTTGGGAAAGGGGGGAAAAATAACTCCTGGTCTGGACTTCGTTGTTTGCCCTGTCTATATACAGAATTACAGTTACTTTTCAGAAACCATCTAGTTGTGTATATCTAATGAAGAACTGAATATGGTGGCAAATTAAGAGGAAGGGAGAAGAGTGGCCATGTGTGGATACTTAAAATCCTTAACAGAACTGTACTTTAGATCTGAAATTTGAGATGCATGGCTCCAAGCCTTTATTTTCCTCTGTCACGCAGTGTCTTCAGTTAGAATACCCATGGTATAGAGTCTGTATTAACTTCCATCCTCTTTTTCCCTCAATCCTCGGCACTGTGTCTTAGAAGGTGTCATTGGATTTGTTAGTACAATTAGCACGCGTATGTAAGAAGTATCTCTGCCAGTGTACTGGACTTTGTACATTACTCTATTTAAAAACATTTGGCTGAGTGTCTCAGTGTAAGCCTTTAATGTTTCAGATGCTCTGTGACAAACATTCACTCTGCCCCAGTTTGAAAAGTGCACCGTCACAAGAGGGAGAGTTAAAGGGTGTGTAAGAAAAACCACATTAGTAAACATACTGGAATGTGTAATAATACTCTCCATGTTTCCAAACATGGGTGGGGGGGTCATGCATCATCTTTCATCTGTTTTTGAGGAACAAAAGTCTGTGACTGTGGTTGGAAATGACAGTACCCATTCTTCAGCTACATGGCCGTCCATCACCCTCACCTCTGGTGAGGTCGGTCAGCATGGGGGTATGATGACAAAGGCCATTAGGCTTCATTCTCTTGGGGTGGGTGTGGGGAGCCCTTTGTCCCTGGCTCCTAGCACCTTTCTCAGATGGCAGTGCTGCCGGCTTCCTCTTTGCACGGGACTGTGGTCCTGTGTGGCAGCTGTGTGCAAATCAGTCAATTAACTTTAATTCTCCAGGGCAGTGAAAAAGAGAAACTTTGTTTAGGGGAACTTAGGGAAAACTTAACGCATTGCTAATCTGCTTTAATTATTAGTGTGCCAAGTACCTTGTTTTACTGAATTACGGATTCATGACAGCATTTTGGGGAGTTACGATCACAGTCTACTATCAGGGACATATAGTGTAGATTAAGGTTTTGACAGGTTAGGCTAGATTTAGGGCTGCTCTGGGGTGGCCTGCGTTGCAGAAAGGGGCTACACTACCCATCCGTAAACTACGGTAGTGTAGTTAGGGCATAAATGTCTTGAAGTGTTGCAGGGTACATAGCAAATAGAAAATAATAACTTTTAATAATTTTTGGCTTATTTTGATTCCTTGTTGGTATTTAGCATAAACGTTTAGTATAAATTCTATGGTATGAGCCCTGCCTTGTAAGGGTATGAACTGGAATCTGAATTCCTGGAGCTTTGTCAGTTACCGTCAGACTTCAGTGCTCAACCTTCCTTCATGTTACATGTAACGTACCTTTTCTAAGAAGCTGACGAGTGTGCTGTCTCTGCTGATTCCAAGCCAAGCCCAGAGTAACTACCTAAAGTGGTGATTTTGAAATGTCGCTGAAGCGACATTGAACTGATTGTTGACTAGATCTTACTCTTTATCTAGCGTCTAAAATTCCCATAAATATGCACGAGAAGAGCATGTTTTATGATGCACCACTTGCATTCTCTTTTGGCATTTAGACTTTCTATGTGAGAACACTGAGTCCTAAAATTCCAGTCATGATTTATGTATTTGTTTTGGAAAATGCTCTCTCTCTCACCCTCTCTCTCACTCTCTCTCTCTCTCTCACTCTCACTCTCTCTCTCTCTCTCACTCTCTCTCTCTCTCTCACTCTCTCTCCCTCTCCCTCTCCCTCTCCCTCTCCCCTCCCCCCTCTCTCTTTAGAATGATACGAATTGCTAGCTATTTTTGTACAGTTAATTGCTCTTTCTAGGTGCATGTTTTTAGGATCACCAGTTAATATGCCTTTGTCTTGGTGGGGGAGGGAAAGAAAGGGAATTTATGTGTTTGACTTCCTTAAGAAAAATTGAAATCTGATGTGTAGACTATGCCAACCTCAGTTTAGACCTTGCCCTGAATTTCCAGCCTGCAAGTTGAAGCAATTCCATTTTCTGATTGATGCTTGTAACACATTTCTTAAGTCTTTAGTCAAAACATCCCATGTGTTTACACTGTGTTATTTTTCTACCGGAAACCCCCTAAGCTATGTTTGGTTCTATGTACTTGCTGCCATTGGTTTTACTTAAGTTGGGGATCTTTTTGGTACATAGGAAGCAGTAGAATCCAGCGTTCCATAGGATTTATTTTTCTTGATTGAGGCAAAAATAAAAGGTATTTCTTTACCTAGTCATTAAAAGGTCATCATCTAAAGTCACTCTTTGTAAAAGGAAAAGCCAACCTCTCTAGAAGCTCTTTGCCTGTTTGATGGACAGGGCAGCCCAGCCATTGAAGATCTGAAGGACTTGGCACTGGTGGGAGTTCCTAGGCATTGGTTTTCTTTTTCTTTTGATCCCTGTGGTAGGTGAGTTTAATAAATAATTTAAAAAATCATACATTAATTAGTTCTTACTGTTTAGAATGGAAACATTGTAGAGGTTTTCCACCTTTAATCATGCCATGCCTAGCTCCTTACCCTCCCCCCCTTATATTGCTCATCCCATGATACTCGGTTATTGTAAAATTTGTTTCCTGCAAGAAGTATCTGAGGATTTTTAGAAACCAGAATGGACCAGTTTTGTCAGTCATGTGTGGATAGACTGTGAGAAACTTGGGAATGATGGTTATGATCAGGATAAGGGATTATGTGTTTGGCTGGTGGAAAGAAGGTGTACAAAGAAGTTGGTGACATGGTATACTTTCAGGTGTAAGTGCATGGGAGATCCAAAATGCATGGTCCTTCAGGGGTCACTGGCCTTGGCCACTCAGATATCTAGCAGAATTAAGTGTTGTATGTACTTATTTTATCTTTGGATGGGTGGTAGTTCTCAGGGACGTGTCATGGGCACCTTGTGGTTAAGAATATGGGCTGGAGCCAGACCGTGTGGCCTCTTCTGGCTCAGCTGTCTGTTATGTGTTCTTGGCACGTTCTGTAACATCACTGGGCCTCGGTGTTCTCACCTGTAAAATGTCTGTGACAGTGGTAACCACCTCATGGGGGGTTTTGTGTCCTAGGCAGATTGATTCATGAGGAGCTCCCAGGTATATAATGAGGACTCCGTGTGAGATATTACCGTTAGCCGTCATCAGCGTGTATGACACATGAATTGCTACATGGGGACATGCACATTCACTGAAGACTTCTCAAATGTGATTTTGATTTATGCAAATTGTGATTTATATCTTTTCTCCATGGCGCCGCCCTCACCGCCATCCATGGGCAGATGGAAAAGTGTGGGCCTGTGTCCCTCTTTTTTTTGAAGTTTGCTGAGTCACGGGAAGGACCCTAATGGTGTGGAGTGTGAATTCTTCCACAAAGCTTGTTGTGACCAGGTATTTGCTTGCAAGGAGCAGGTGTGAGTGGGGTGAGGTTGTAGTTTGTGAAGATGCTATCTGGGCTATTCACATGTAAGTCACACCTAAGCCCTTGGGGGGTGGCCCCTATTTTACTAGTACTTAATAGTAAGATCCCTGACACACTTTTAAAAACAAACTCCACGAGTGTCTACTGAAGTAGTAAAAAAAAAAAAATAGTGTGGACTGTGCCTCTGTAGGGATGTAAGTGTTTTCTTTTTATTAAACAAAGAGCTGCTGTATTTTAGTTATTTAAGCCTTTGGGAGTGTAAGACTTGATGGAGTTCAGACAGTCAGCCCTGCTCTAGGAGGTTGGATTTTGAATGTGGAGTGTTAGGGGTGAGGACTTGGTGTGGTTCAGGTTTTGGATATGAATACATGTTGAGATGATGAGAATTCTCCCAGGCTTTTAATAGGCATCCCTTTTACAGCTGAATTGTCAAATATTACTGTTTTCCTTATTATTTCTGTTCCGAGGTACTACGTTGACATGCAGTAGTTTGCTACCTCCAAGTTTGGAAAGAAGATAGGCCCTTCAAATGCATAGGATTCTTACTGGGCAGCACGCAGTGTTAGAAATTGGAGTTATTCAACGTCACCATCCTTAGGAATTAGAATTTTAAAAGCCTAAAGAGTTTTTACATATCTGTGTAACAAAATGCATTTGTAGGATAGTTTAATGTTAAACGCACTATTGAATTCAGAGCTATTTTGACTGAAAC